AGAAGGTAATTACATTACCTGTAAGAAGGTAAACAAGAGACAAACCCTTACACACTATCAGAAAACTCTGAGAGTTTTCAGATATTTCAGTAATTCAGACAGTGCAATCAAAAGAGGCAGTTAGAGGGGATAAAAGTGTTTCCATTTCTGCATTCACAGCTTTCCACTGTTGCTTCTCTCTGAAGTCTCTCTGGGTTAATGCCATAGCAGCAAACTGCCCAAGCTTCATGATAGGTTTCCAAAGACCTGTGCGAGTGCTTGCACATATTTTAAGTTTGACAGTTTGCCCCAATTGCATCTTCATCTCTGTCTGTCTCTCTCTGGATGATTTTCTGCCTTGCATCTTTGTGATGAAATAGACTTCACTGAGTTGTTGAACCCATTTTTGCCTTGATTCCTACCACATAATTAAGTGCCTTCATAAGCTGAGCTGCTGGCTATTTGCTTCAGCTCCTCAGTCACAAGACAGCCAGACTGTAATTCCCTCACCAAGCCCAGATGACCCATGTCAGAAGCAGCCCACCAGCAACCAGACTTTATCCCTCTCCATACCCTACAGTGCCTACATTGGGGAAAATCTCAGTGTGGAGCTAGTATTAAACCTGCAGGAAATAAAGCCACGTGAGGCTTGGGAGCTAAGCAGAGGATGTCTAAATGTGGGGAAAGTAGGCACCACAGAAAGCTTTGAATCTCTGGGAGCAACTTTTGTCCTGAATAAAAAAATGGGGGCTGTACTGTAGGGTTTTCAAAAGTAGGAAAGTACAGTTCTCGGTGTTATTAATGCCTTGAGAAAAATCGGTAGCACAGATAATACTGCAGCTGAAATAATTCTCAATGTTCCTCAATACCTAATAAGTCTGCTACATTGATCCCAGACAGAATGCAGATGTAAATAAAGAACAACGGAGAAAAAAAGGAAAGCATGGAAATTTTGGCTTGAGAACAGAAAATTTACTTTTCTGATTATTTGATGGTCAGTCCAATGTAAACATATTTAAATTTATTTGAGGGGTAATTAATTATTTTAGTCTTCTTATTTTTCATATAAAAATGAAAGAAAAAACCTCACACCATATTCATATGTGGTATTTTACATTTAATGTTAAAGAACTTGCACCAAACCAAAATAAACACATAATAATTAGCTTTTTAAAAGATCCAAACCACTGGGACTTTCAGAGAAAACCTTCATGTACAGCTTTTTCTCCCCAATTTGGTCAGCAATTCAGAGGAAGGGGATTTGGGGACCTTGTTCCTGGCAAATATTAAGTGTAACTCACTTCTATTCTCCTGCTAAACAAAGTTGAGAAGGCTTGCTATAAGTCTCCTTCATTAGAAGCAGTTCCAGTTATTGAAAGAAACAAATCTTAGGATTCACAATAGCACATGGGCCTCTATTCTGGTGCTGAAAACAGCCTCCTCAGAGGAAAAAAAATTCTACGCTCCAATCTGCTTCTGATTCAGACAGGGTCTTGAGCCTAGATCCTATAATACCATGAAGCCTATCGTCACTGCCAGGAGGGAGAATAAGTGATTATTTGAAGTCCTGTAACAAAGTAGAGCATCACAAGGAGATTACCATCCTCAAAATAGGCTTCCTAGCGGTGGGAGCAAATTCAAAGGATTTCATTAACTGGTGAAGGGAATATCATCCTACATGGACATCTTAGAAACAAAAATATTAAGTAAGAAACATTAACAGGTTTTTTTTAGTTTCTTTCCCCTGCCTGAAACTATTTGATTTTTTTTTCTGAATCCACTAACATTTCATAAAAAATGGTGATAATGAATAAAAATTATTTTAAAAACCTAGCTTCACTGAGAGCTGCTGAGCTCATATTTCACTTTCATTGCCTCAGTCCCTATTGAAAAACATAATTTCTTTGTGGAAGATATGATTCTAGTTTCATCATAAATTTTCCTACAAAAAAAACGAAAAAACAACTGGGAGTGGGGAGACAAAGTCCCAGAAATAGATTTCCGGATATACTCTACCTACAAGACAACTCCAGCCTGGGTCTGCACAGAGACACTGGGGGAGGTGTGAGCCCTGTGAGCAGTGGGGCTGTTCGGCTGCCATGGCTGTTGCAGTCCAGGCAACCCTTTCCCTGGTGAATTCCAGATGGAGCTGAACTACCAGGAAAGGGCAGGACATCAGGACAGACATCAACACCACATGCATAAAGATGCCTAAGTGAAAAAATACTGAAGAAACAAAACTAAATCAAGCTGATAGGCAGATAGTTTGTTCAAATGGATGTAGAATCATAGAGTGATTTAGATTGGAACAGACCTTTAGGATCATCTAATTCCAAGAGTTCTGCCATGGGCATGGAAGCTTCCACTGCATTAGGTTGCTCAGAGCCTCATCCAACCTGGCCTTGAACACTTCCAAGCATAGGGCTACAACTTCTCTGAAGCCTTCTCTTCTTCAGGCTGAACAGCCACAACCCTTTCTGTCTTCACAGGAGAGGTGTTCCAGCCTTCTGATCAACTCAGAGACCCTCCCCTGGACTTATCCCACTGCTACAGAGATCTAGGTAAAACCAGTAAGAAGAATATACAGGCTCTTGGCAACAGGGCAAGGACTGTAAGAAAAATTTGTTTTGGCAATGGTATTGAATTAATTAAATTGTAGTTGCTGGAACTAGCACTGCTAGGGCAACCACAGGGCTTAAAAACAATATGACTTCCACTAATGGGTGAGATAATAAGTTTTCTAGGGCAGAACATGATGTTGAATTATGGATATTGTTTCATACACTTGACCTGAAGTGGTTATTATATTCCTGAGTGTCACTACACAGACAACGTGGTGCCCTATAGAGACTCTTGTCATGTTTAAATGGACAAGCAATTCTGAGTAAAAACATGCAATTATGGATGGGACTTTAAGTCAAAAGAAAGATATTAACTTGGTGACTTTAACAGCACTAAGGATTCTCAGCTGTTTAGCAATCAACACAGAAATGTATATGTTAAAGTTAGGTAATGAAAATAGCTGCAATCTGATATTAGCAAATAGTTTTTCTAGGGTGGAAAAGTGAACAGCAGCTACTTGTAGCAAACATTAGAAACCATTTGTGTGCAGCAAGGGTCACTAAAAGTCCCTACAAAGACACAGGAAATCTGCTGGAGCTAATTTTTGCAAAAATGCAAATTAGTTTTCTAGTTGTCGTCTGAATCAGTGCTCGTGTTCAGGTGTCATATAGGCTGCTGTGGTCACTGGCATCTATGCATGATTGTTATGGTTATGTTTTTCCTTCAAAATGTTGAAGAATAGTGGTAGCACAGTGGACTGTTGAGAAAGAAACAGAAAATGCCAGAGAACAGTATGGACCAGGGAGAATCATACATGTGACTAAATTTTTAACTATGTTGGCAGCATCTGAAAAGGTCTTTTCTTCCTGCAGAGCCAGATGTGTTATAAAACCCCACAGCCTTTTGATAGATCCAGCATTCCAGCCTCCAATCATGCTGGCAGATATGTCAGAAACATCTGGATATTTTTCAGTCCTTGAGTCTCTCACTTTGCTTTAATACTTTTCTTTACAGGACAACTGTCTTTACCCTGGGCTGAGGTGATAGTACATCTGTGTTAACAATCCTAATTTCAAAATTATCCAGTATGTAAGATGGATTTCTGCAAAAAGCACTAGATGTTTGTGGTTTGATTAGTGATGGACTATAGCTGCAGTATGCTTATGGTGACCTGTTCTCAGCTTCTCATACTTGTAAATTCCTTTGTTTCTGTATATGGTATTCCATTCAAAACTGATTGCAATGTGTTCTGACAAGTAAGGGAAGCAAACGACTGTTCTATGATGCCAGCTGCCTCATGCCACAGGATGGCTGAGAGGTGTGTTCCTCCCTTCTTTCAGAGGAAAAGAATACATTTTTTTTTCTGAACCAGGAAATATCTGTAGGAAGTCTTAGAGAAATCTTAGATTAGGAAGAATTAACATCAGACTTTCAAGCACAGTGATGCTTTTTACATTGTATTAGCGGGTCTCCACACTAGAAAAAAGACAATGTGTTTTACATATTCCTTTAAAGTCTTCTGCACAATGAATGAACTGACCCCATAGTGACTAAAAGCCTATATTGTTTAGTATCACACAATACTGCAACTTAGGCCTGCTATTGTAGTCTGAAAGGAAATTTCATCAACTGTCCCAGGGCGTTTAAGAATATTAAAAGTGTTGCAAATGGCCACATACATGCAGTAAAGAAGCTTAGCCCCCAGTCAATATTGATTTATTTTGTGAAGGTCACTGCAGCAACATAACTTTTTTTTTATTCTACTTCATAGAGCTGGCTCTGAGAGAGAGCATCAAGATGGAACAAATTAGCCTAAATTAGAATACTTAAGATTTTCTCTTTATTAGTAATTCCCAGATGTGGAGTCAGTGCATTGCCCCAAAGGTGTAGAATACAGAGCACTTGGCAGCAGCAGCTCTTAACCCAACAGAAGTTTGTCCTAGGATGTATCACAAATTTTCACTTCACTCAGATTAACTGGGATTTGACAGAAACAAATCTTGAGCATCAATCTGCATGTGTTCTAGAATTGTTGCATAGGATAGTACTGACTATTTGAAGGACCGATTTATAAGGATTTCCACATTACACTGTGTTGGAAAAATAGCAGTAGAGCTGGTGAATGTAACTGTTAAAAATTATTTCATCAGATCTTGTGCTCCTGGTTTTATCACAGAATGCCCTTATCCAGTAAAGGGAGTACCTTGATGCTCTAGTATCTCTTTATGATTTTACATATCAACCTTTGCCATATTTAACCTTAACGTCTCTTTGGGAAGGTTTAGTCTTTTCTTCAATGTGTATATGGTACCTAAAAGGGTAATTTTTTCTGGATCGTCAAGATCCTTTCTGTATGATTAGAAGTGTAAATAGTATTAATAAGTGCATATATGCCTGTGAATATTCACTTTGGAGTATATGTATTTGTTCTTTGTTTAAAGAAGAAATTAATTTCCAAATACAAGAACATAATTATTGTTATAATTCAATTAGTAGTATTGTCACATAGATCTTTTTCCAAAAATAAATTACTATGCTATTAATGAGTAAAGAATATAACTAAACATGCATACATATTGTAAAGACTTTTTAAATCTGTATTTTTTCATATTGGGTGAACACAGAGGTACAGAAAATACTTTTGTTAGAAGGGCAAGATGTTCTCAGAAATTACATCAAAAGAACAGCAAAAATAAAGGGTTTAGTGATCAGATTTCTGAATGGGTTATTCCTATGCTGGGTTTCTATACTAAGTTTTTTCCACAAGCTCTCTGGATCAGACTAAGGCCTGATTTTCAGGTAGAAAGGATTGATTGTCAGAAATTACCATTCTCAACAGTTTTAAAAATCTACTTTTAAGAAAATACCTAATCTGCAAAGCAAAAATTATACCATGTGCATAGTCTTTAAATGCTTGTTACTGACACCAGTCTTAAAATGTTAGCAATAGATGCAAGATAACAATGAGCAACTAAATTGTTTCTAACTAGAAATGCAAGAAGACAAAAATAATGACTGATTGATAGTCTGTTGTGCTGGCTAGAAGAAATAAGAATGTCATACTCTCTCAGTGAATAGCTGACTTTAATATTCAAGTCATTAATTGAAAGGCAATATTATAAAATAAAAAAGTCAACTAGATTTGATAAAATCAGCCATATTTCATAAAAAGTTGCCTTCATTGTTAGTGAATTGTTAATGTATTGTGTTCTAATAATCTGGACCCCTCTAAAATCCAGTATTATTGTATGCATGCATGTTTGTGAGTTAGCAGATAGCTGGATACTGCTCTGAGTTGATTGTATTTGCTTAAATGATACAGTTCCTATACAAGTGCTTTCCTAGTTCAGTAAATAATTGGGAGTGGATGTATGTCTTAACTTCTTAATTTTCTCTTCACCACCATTGCATTAACTAGCCATTTAAATTTTTATGAAGTACCTAGTCCATGAAATATGTAACCATTACTTGGTTGTATCTCTCTGCAAACTAAAATTAACCAAATATTCAATGATGATCCCAAAGTTGTAGAAAGAAACAGTGTCAAAACAAGAAATGGAATAAAACAGCAGAAAACTGGGACTTTGAGAGAACAAGATTACGTGTTGTGTTCTCTTGTCCCTGGATTTTTATCTGAATGAATCCCTACAATTACATATATTCAGTATATTGCTTTGGATGCTAAGCCTCATGTACTTTTCACCTTAAAAGTCATCTTCAAAGGATGACAGCAATTTATGGGTTATTTGCATGGGCCACCATCTGAAATGTCAGTGGCAATTCTGATAACTAGTAATCATGTAGCTCACGCTTTTATTAGCATATGTATTCGGCCAAGTGCACCCAAATTCATTGTGTTAGTTACTATATAACAAAATAAAGACACAAAACTTGTCTTTCAGAATTATGTTAGGAGGATAGGCATTGCCACGTTTGACAAGAAAGATGGAGTAGGCAAGACGTTTCTTTGGAATATTTGGGATCTTACAGCAATGATTTTCAATATATTCACATTATGAATTTTAAAGATAAGGTGTTAAGCACATGTTTTAGGTCCATATAAAATCCCTTCTGAAAGAACAACCTTTTCAGTTGTAGAAAAGATACAAGCAAAGAAAAATTTAAAGTCAAATAACGCTGTTACTTCTTGATTTTAGTTAGAACAAGTTTCATTCCAGCAAAACTTGTATCTTGGCACTCTCACAGTACAAGAGTGGCACTGCAATATCTTTATATGACAACAGCTTGAAGAAGTCGGAAACAAATCATGATGTCCAATGGGATTGGAGGTTGAATTTCATTTCCATCCAGACGAAGGTATCGGAGGCGAGGGATGTTGCCATAATAACCGTAATCTTCTTCTAGGGCAATGGAAACTGGGCATATCTGAGTACCATTGACACCTGAAAATGTAAATCAACGTGTTAGGTTATTTCCATGGGAAAGGTTCATGAAGATAAAATTCACTTAGGACACAAAGTAAACTTCCGTTGATGTCAGCATGGGGGACTGTTGCTTTTGTTTCCATTTAAATACTTTGTTGACTGAAAGCAAGCACCTTCATATAATGTGACCTGGATCAGTGAATCACATATTCTGTGCTGCAATTATGAGAAAAGGCCATTAGATGCATAATTTATCCTTGAACAAAGGGGATACTAAGTTAGACAACTACATGATATGCATTGAGAAACAGCTCTTTACACTCTGAGTGAGCAAGGCAAGATTACTTCTGGGGGGTTTTGAACATCTTATTTCAATGACAGTATATTAATTTTAGACTGATGAAGATTCCCTGATGAAGATCTTGCATTCAAAACAATAGCAGTATTGAATCACAGGAACTTTTTGTATAGTGTTTTTAATTTTTAACATCTGGACATTTCTGTTCTTTGACATTATTAGGTGGATTTGGGGTTTTTTTTGCAAGAATATAACTTGTGCAATGGAATATTTTTCTTTCTAATCTGAAAGCCAACAAATCCTCAAAATGCTACATGCATCATGCATAATTTGTTTCTGTACAGGTAAAATTTGAAACTATGGCTTCAATCATTATCCATATTTAGAAGTGTTGAATAGCTTGGGCTTTTTGTCTCCTCTAGGGTTACCTCTGCACTGTCACTTGACTAAAATGCTTTTTATATTTTGTCTTCAGTTGTTAAATAGTCAGGCAGCTGCTGCTCTATTTCAGCCTCAAAATGGCCTCTAGAAAACACTGAAGTGGTGTTTGTTTTTCAAAGATGTCAAATTTCTTTGACCAAATTATGATATTTTTTGATTAATCTAACTGCTTGAGGATCTTGGCCTCAGACTAACTGAAAAAAAAAGTGACTGGAGAATGTGTATATAACAGATTTTTTGGAACAAAATTCTTTACTAAAAAAGAGATAGGAAAAAAATTTCTTCTATTATATTTAGTAATGATACCATCCACAAATCTTCTGACTACAATCCCCAAAATCAGAGAAATGTTATGAAGTAAAAATAACGACATAACTTACTTTATTTTTCCCTATAACTTACTTTCCCCCCCCCCCCCCACTCTATTTTGAAAGACTGCCCGGATGTTTGCAACATCTTGGAAGTGGACTCTATCTTTGTCATGGAAACTAGATAAATACACCCAGTTGGCCAAGGCCTGAAGCTTTTGTTATATCCATGATATCAAAATGTGTTTGTTTATCTTGTGAAAATTGATTAATGTTGGCAAAGCTTTTGGTATTCTTGGAAGAAACAAGCTACAACTTATCTCTATGTGTGAATTTACAACACAGAAAGCTTAAGAATTTTCATTACTAAGGCGGCCATTTAAAGTTTTGGGTGAATCAACACTATCTAGGAGAAAATATCTTCTTTGTTTGACCAGCACTACTGTTCACAGAGACAAGATGGTTTCAAGTGTATCCTAAATCTCTGTCTTCTCTGACCAAAAACTATCTCACTGCACTCATTTTCACTGGGTTAATTACTCCAGTCATGAAGTGAAGCAGCAGTTATCTTACCACAGGCCACCTAGGGAGAAGTTATTTCCTGATGATGTGTGGTATGAATTGGTTTGGGTTTTATTATTCTCTTTCCATAAACAGTAAATCCTACCCAAACTATCAGGGGAGTAAAAGTCTCTCTCTCTTTTTCTCTCTTTCAATACTCTTCATGGATATATTACTGAATTTTATTTAAATAGGAGGAACAATACTTCCAAAATGGGACTGAAAGCTCCTTAAGATGGTATTAATTTCCCTATACAATGGTGTTATCCTTTCCTTTAAGTAGGAGGTCTCAGACTCAATGGAAAGGGATACACAATTAAATTAGATTTAAAAATCTAGCATAGTTTATTCAAAGAAGATTAATTCCACCACTTGTCAACAGAATTGTTATGTCCTTTAGTATTTAAACATGAAGCCTAGAGCTGCTGTAAGGGAAAATTGCCAAAGAGGTTCTCATTAATGGCTAACACTGTATGTCTGCTGAAGATGTGCAGATATTTTTTCCAGTAAAACTTACAATTTAGAAACAAAATTTAGATACATGGCCCTGGGATTTCTCCCTTTCTCTAAATATGGAATAATATTAGCTCACAGTATCTATCTTGGCCTCCTGGTGTTCTTCCAGAGGAACTTACTGTTTACTCCCTTTCCTTTGTCCTTTGATAGCACTGTAATAATACCACCTGCTTGTCCTTGCTCACTTGTTACATCATTTCATACCTTCTCTTTGCTTACTATAACATTCTCCTTTACATTCTTTAAGAATTCCCCAGAGCCTCACAAGGGTATATCCCAGGTAAATGTGTAGGCATATGTGTTTTAAAATGCTATAGAACAAATGTGTTGCAAATCTGTTTGAGCTATAATTAGTTTTGGATTTAAGTTGATTTTACTTCCAAAATTAGAATTTTTTTTTCCTCTGTGCATTGAGATCCTTAAAGAAGGGATTACAGGTGAAATTCTTGTTCCACTGAGACAAATGATGAGGCTATCATTTGCTTTCCTGGGCTTCAGAAGAAGACCTTGTATCTTCATAAATGGTCTCTAGAGAAATAAAACTGTGCACTTATATGAAGAATTGATATTACAAAATAGCATATAATAAAACATAGACAAATGGTTTTTACATAGAAATGCTGATGTATGAACTCTTGCAATAACAACAGTGTAACTATGATTCACCAATAGAAAATAAAGCAGCAATTAGCAGTTGTGAAGGAACACCTGAGAATTAATGTTATAAAAAGGGCTTGTACTGCATACATAAAAGTAAACTTTCAGCACAACTCTTTTGTGAAGAAATCAGATCAGGACTTTACAAATAATTTTCTTTCAAACCTTTTATATTGATTATCTTAACATAATGATTGATCTGGGTTTAAGAAGACAAAACCAATCTGCAGAATTAATGTCAGCTCTTATTACTCTGGCCTAATGGAATTACATTCCTTGTTTTCAATCTTTTAAGATATTATCTATTAGAGCAATGTCTCATGGAGGCTATGCCATTATCCCTTACTTCTTGAACAATTATTCTATATGGTAAAATACCTTTACATGATACCCAAATTTAATTTAAGGTATCAGGTTGCAACTCTTTTATATTCAGTTACTCAGAATTCCCTTCTTTTTGTTTTTTTTTGTTTGTTTTTCAGGTAAAGTCAGTTAGTCACAAGCAACTTGTGCTTAAACTGACAGTTATTTTTGAAAAGTGGTAAAGACATTAAGGAATAGAATATTTGTGGAAAAGCATCATGATTCAGTTTCACAGGTCATGTGTCATTGAAACGTGAGGCTTGATTTTGTACATACCACAAAAGCTAATTTTCATGGACATAAGCTTTGCCAAACATATTCAGGGAAGGAAGAGGACTGGACAGATCTTTAAATACTACTTAGACACAAAACTGTTCTTAAACTGGACAGGCTACATTCCATTGATTTTGTGTCCACTTGAAGTGACAAAATAAAGTCTGCCCCTGAGGCCTTTGTGGTGAAGCAATTCAGATAAATCTCTTAGTAGCCAGGGGGCAATTAAATACATTCAGAAACAACATTTGTCATAAGATTTAACTCTAATTAACAGATAGAATTCTTGCAGGCCACTTAAATATGTGCCAGTTATACAATTTTTCTTATTTATTTGATTTCACATTTTTATTTTGCCAAATGCAATGAGTGAATATAAATTATCAAGAAATATCTTCATTTCATAGGTCTTTCTTTTGTGCAAAAGCTAAATCATTATTTTTCATATATTTTTGGACTACAGTGGCACAAAAATGTGTCAAAGGACCATGTATTCAATTAAATCACTATGATGGGAAGATAAATATAGAAACTTGGCTTCCTTCTGTGCAGTGGTGAATAAAAAGTCATCATTTTTGTTTTGGCTTTTGGCATGAAATGAAGTACTTACTGATTAGATACTTTCTTTATATAGAGTATGTAATGTCCCTGACCACCACACCCCGTCTATACCTGGATGAATTTGGAAACAGTCCTGGAAATGAAACTGTTAAAACTAACAGGCTTGTGTTGCCTTGGGTACAAAATTTCATCTCATTTACATGAAATTGAAAACTTTTGAGGACATAAATCTTAATAGAACAATATGCTGTAAAATCAGTAAAACACAAAAGCATTTTGCTCAGAGAAGTGGTGGATGTCCCACCCCTGGCAAATTTCAAGGTCAGGCTGGACAGGGCTCTTAGAAATCTCATCAAATATCCCTGCTTACTGCAGGAAAGTTGGAATAAAAGACCTCTAGAGGTTCCTTCCTTCCCAAATTATTCAATGATTCCATGATTTTAATCACTTTATCTCAAAGAGCATTTTTATAGTTAAGTAGACATTTAAAATGGATATGGTTTTGAAGGGTTCCACACTGGTAATATACACTTACTTTTGATTTTGTTGTGATCAAGATGAAGGTGCTCAAGGTGAGCATTGATTGGTGGAATTTTAGTGAGCTGATTGTGAGACAGCTGTAGGTCTAGAATAGATGAAACATTAAACCCATTTGGAGGGATACCATCATCAGATAGTTTATTGTAGTTCAGCCTAAGGAAAGTCACTTTGGGTATTGCACTGAAGTAGTTTTCTGGTATAACTTCAATGGAGTTGTTGTCCAAAAACAGCTGCAGTGTATTAGCTGGAATGCTTAAAGGCATTTTCTTGAGTGAATTTTTTGCTATGTTGAGCTGCATAAGGTTGTTGAGTCCTTGGAAGGTGTCACTTTGAAGAGCGCTGTCCAACAAACTGTTCTGGTGGAGGTCTAACATGGTAAGGTTTTCCAAGTGGCTGAAAGCTCCTTCTGGGATTTTGGAGATTTTGTTTCTAGCTAGTCTTAGCTGTTCTAGACCCACTGGTAATGGGGCAGGGACCTCGTCCAATTCGTTATCTTCAAGGAATAAGTAAAGCAGTCTTTTCAGCTTGCTCAGCACACCACTCTCAATTCCACTGTTTGTGATCTTATTCTTGTTCAGATTTATCCATCTCAGATGAGTGGCATTTGCGAAAGGCTTCTCTGAAATTTTTTCAATTTGGTTGTTTTGAAGATAGAGGTACCAAATTCTGGCTGGAATTGGAGGTATTTCTTTAAGTCCTTTGTTATCACAGTATAGTGCATTGGGGAAGCTAGGAGGACAAAAGCACTCCTGTGGACATTCAGAAGTATAGTGAGACCAATGGCCAGGATCCAGATCATCATAAACTTGTCTCACAGTTCGAGTCCATGCAGAATTGACTGAGAATAAGAGCAAAAGGCTTGTACAGACTTTCAGAATCATGGTGTTAGCCTTGGAAGGGAAAAAAACCAATTAGCTTTTTCCCAATAAAACTCCCTAGTAGCATACTAGATTAACAAAAGAGTTTTGCATACAAAATAATATTTCCTTTATAAACAGCCAAATTCTGTCATCTAGGGTATTATCCATGGTCTGTTAAGGAAAAACTGAAAAGTAATATAAAAGGTATATGTGCTAAATGTTGATAAATATTTCCTGATTCAGCTTAGACTCCACATTGGCTACCAGTTTAACTGATGTTCATGTAAGTACCATTTCCAAAAATATGAAAATATGGATCATTTTTAGACAATAAATCAGTACCTCTTTTAACCTTGCATAAGTTTTCCTGTACAGATCTATAATCTACATTATATAATGGTTAATCTTCAGAAAAGATACAATTACCACAAAGATATAAATACTATTGTACTCAGTGTCCCTCCTTTTAAAATTAATCATACCCTCTTCTCTGTTTTTGCTCTCTTCCACAATTATAATGGCATGTGGATCAGATTTTCCAGGGTCTGTTGTCTTAATTGAAAAGTGGAAGATCAAATAGTGTTTTAACAGCTGTTTGTTGGGCATGTTCTTAAAAGATTGGAGGGAATATGTTTGACTAATCCATTCCCCACCTTGCTCACTCTCTCATATCCAAAGTTACAAATTTCCTTCCCTAAAGCAAACAGATAAAACAAATGTCTGCTCTAAATGACACAAGAAAATAGTCCTAACCAAATTATAGCCACAAAAAGCAAGTCATAATCAAACTATTAATATACATTTATGCATATTTTAGCTATTTTTCTTACTTAATTATTTGCTTTTTTTAGCCTCTTCCACAATTATAATTATGACCAAAATTATCACTGTTAATTTACTCAGACAGGAAATACTTGTGTAGCACAAAAACAATGTTTTACAATCTCTGTTATCTTGCTTACTGGCTCATGGAGATTAACAGGTATTTTGCAGTGCACAGGCAAAAGACTGATAACTGAAATTTCTGATCAAAATTAGGAGGTTGATTTTGACAAAAATAGTATTTAAATAAAAAGCTCCCTCATAGGATTAATGCATCAGTAAAGTTAAGAACTCAGTTCAAATATGTAGAAATTTAATAGTTTTCACCATTGTTATTAGCAGTAACAAGTGCAGAATCCTATAGCCTTTCCAGCCCCAGAAACTGCTATCTGGAAACATTCCAAAGAAAGGGACAAATAAAGTATTTTTAAAGAATAACATTTATATTTCACACAGTGGATTTGCAACCTTCTTACTCTGTAAATATTCATAACCTTAATAACACTTAAAAAAAAAAGAAATATAAAGAAATTTACCTTGTTAGTCAAGTTCCTGGAGCTAACTGAAGCCAGTTAGAAATCACTGTAAATTCACCGCTTTTGGCTGCTAACCACTGTGTTTGTTTCCTGTCCTCCTAAGAATTAGCAGCATATAAAACTGGAAGTACATACTAGTATTCCCAGATGTATTTCCATGCACACCTTATTAGCTATTGCTTCTAGTTTGACATTGTTTCAGAGTTTGGGCTTACCTCAGCTTTCTTGGATCTTCTTCTCTTTCTATTGGTCCCTGTTGTTAGACTGTAATAGCTTGAGTCAGGCTGCAAGCTGTGTTCTAGGAATACAGCCTCATATATACGCATCAGTGCTTCCAGCTTTTAACCCCTGAAATAGCTAAGGCACCTCAGCACCTAGGCAGGGAAAGAAGGAAAGCCTGGCCTTAATACCAAGCAGCCACTGAGCTGAAGGCATTTGATTTTTTATGTTCTATTAGATGAGGGGAGCTGGTCTAGATGAAACAGGTAACCCAAAGTGTAGGTTTATTCAACATTTTTGTTAGAAGATACTTTACATGCAAAGCTGACTTACATCATAGCTCATTCTCATAATACCTGACTTGGCCACAAAGGATTAAAACCAGTGCCATCTGTTTCTATGGAAATATTTTGTTTGACTTTTATTAAATGCAGATGCTGTCATGCCATTTAAAGACAAAATTCCTGATTAGGAGAAGAGAACAAATGCATTTGCTAAGAATTTTTTAATAACATATTTTCAGTTCTTTAAAGATTAAATCCTACCTTTTCTTTTTTGTTCAGAAAGATATTTACATGTATTTCTACAAAGTTATAAATTCCCCAGTGTCTCCTGCAATTTTCTTTTATCACTGATCTAAAGCAAAATCTTTGCAAGCAACTTGCTCTCCAAAGATAGACACATATTTCTCACATTAAGTATTTTGGAAGATTTTTGGTTTCCTTTTTAGTCCAAACTTAAAGTAACAGCTTCATATCAGAAAAACTATTCATGTTCAAAGCCAGAACAATGGCATAAATATTTTAAGGGAAAAGTTAATGAAAAATATGAGTTATATTAGTTTTAAAACTTAGTTCAATAATTATTTTAATTCTGTTTCATCTATTTTATTTTAACCATTAAACCTATAGCAAGCTATTTCATCATTTTCAATCCCTTGCTTCTTAAACTCAGAATTTCTCAAAAGAAGTTTAGAAGCAGAAAAGACCAAAGTAGTCAAAAAAAAAAGGAAAGCAAACCTTAAATACATGGGCTGCTTTCACTGACTTCAGTAAGGCTAATGTTAAACACATAATAATTTTTTTCATTAGTTATGTTTGTACCACTATGTTTCTTGTTTATGAAAAAATGCAACCTTACCATCAGTAATTTTTGCATTGTTTATGTGCTTAAAAACAAAATAAGTGCTTAAGTGTTTTACTCTGCTAGCACACCAGGCCCTTCAACACCTCTTAAAGATCAGGGATTTCTTACAAAGCAAGTGTAAAACTGATTCCTTCATGCATACAAACTATTTAAATAATTTAAATTAGATTAAATTAATTTACACCTATGCCTAAAAAATAAAGGTTCTAGTTTTAAGCAGATTCCTAATTATAGGACAAAAGCCATAATAACTGCCTATTTTCATTATGAGTGTCACTTTAAGCATCTAGAACTTAAAATGTTTAAGACTTGGACCTCCTGCAGCAGAGCTGGTACCCCGCATTAGTGACAAAGATTCTTGTCAGCTGGAGTCCAACCAAGGGAGATAGGAAGAGGCAGAGGCACCACAGTGTGAAATGTAAAATAGTTGTATATCTAATTTTGAGATGTTTAAGGAGGTGTCACCATGAGAAGTGCATCTGTGATTGTTGCAAAAAACAAGTAGTGCAGTGTAAAACTGCTTTGCTCTTGTGCTAAATCTTAACAAAGTGTGTAGAGAGAATATGGAGGTGCTGAGGTCTCTTTGCAATTAAAGAGCGAGCCAAGTCCATCCCAAGTGTTGTACTGAAGGGTCTAAAACTGTGAGTCCTCATGGCAGATATCTTCTGTGACACACCTAAATGCATGTTGCCAGATGTTTATATTTAGCAACAACAAAAAAGAATAATTTATCTTACTCTTCAGGGTGGTCTGAGTTTACCTGCTATTTTTACATGCTAATCATGTTCAGATATTCATTATGTTATCACAGAAGTCCCTGGCAAAGCGATTTACCATTTACCTTATGGCAGGCAGTAGTACTATTTGTATGAAATACTGTTAAGGAAGGGGTCACAATCTGCCCTTTGTGGATTTAGAGGCCAGGTATTTGATCCTTATCAAACACACGCTTCCATCCCATTCAAAGGAGGAGTCCTTCACTAGGAGAAGAATATAGCAAAATACATTTTTTAAGACTTTCTCAATAATGCGAATTTCCATTTCTTCTGATGCAAACAAAGCAGAAAAAGAATGACAAGAAATGTCCTCAAAACCAAGAAGCAAGAGTGTTTACAACCGCCATACGTATTTTCTCACATGCTCCCAAAAATTTTTAAAATATCTCTGTAGAGACAAATGGTTGCCTGGGTGTCTAAGCAGATTTTGCAGAAAGCCTGCTTTCCATAAAGCCTTCAAGATCATGCACATGTCATTCATTTCTTGTGTTGAGTCTTCTGTCATCTGGCGTAAAATATTTCTTATTTAAAGGTTGCATTTTATGGTGATAAAGTTTTACAGACTAATAAAGACCGTGGCCAAGATTTTCAAAAATGACTAATGGTTTGGGAGAGTTTTTGTTTTGCGGATCCAACCTGAGACTCTTTCCAGAACCTTTTTTCAGTAAGAGGCTGCTAAGAATTTTGTGTTAATGAGGTAATTTTTAACTTGAGAAGCTGAGTGATCGAAGGCAAATATCAGTGAAATACAAAGTGTTCCTGAGACCATGAACAATCTCTCAAAAAGTAAAAATCAAAATCTCTCAGTAAGTATGAAAGATATTTGCACAACAATAAAAGGAAGTGGAAAAAATATGACAGTAAAAATACTGTGGATACCCACCCTGAATTTTGGAGATAATGTCTAAGAGATATTGTTGGATTTGTTCTAGTTTGAGAAAGATGTCAGAAGCCATTACAGAATTTTTACTCCATGTGTCTCCTTTCAAGCCACACCGTTAATCAAGAGAATTTGTATTAAAAAAGTATAGAAAAGTGAGGAGCATCAACAACTGCAGGAGGTAGTAACATTTCCTTGGGAGGAGTAATGTACATGCTTGAAACTGCACCAGCTCACAACCTTGAGAAAGACTAGAAGAGTAAAAAAGACAAACTAGAAAGACACATTGGGAGGAGAAATGGACTGGAAGTGCTGTTTGGAGCTGCTCTGTTTTAGCATCAGAGCTGCTGAGAGTGAAAAAATGCATTACTTTCAGTAATGGCTGCCATATGTCTCAGATTGAATTAGAAGCAAGGTCTGTTAAGCATCAAGCATGTGTATAGTTCATCACCAGCAAACCCAGGAGTGTACTGCTAGCAGAGCTTACTCATTAGCCCTGTGCACTGCTCCATTTAGCAGAGGCTGCAATCCAGGGTGCCTTAATTTGGGCAGTACTTTACTAAAAGCTATGTGCCTTGCTCCACAGGACAATCAATTAATCTGAAACAAGCTCTTAAATTATCTTCATGGTTACTAGAGAAAAAGTAGC